ACACACACGTGTCATATGAGCAGCGAATGGACTGAAGACCTGATCCGACGGGAAGGGGAGGCATACCTTTGAAGGATGAATACCGACGTAAACACTGGCGCCGTTGGCCTTCTCTCGTTGGATGCGCTCGATGTAAATGACATACTTTGCCCGATAGCACTGCACCACTTTGCCCACCTGTTGACCCTTATGGTGACCTCTCACCACCTGATCCAAAGACAGTACACATTAGCAAAACGGGTGTTAAGACAACACGTGTTATGGGCTGTAGACACGACATACCTGGACCTCGTCGTCCTTCCTGATGGGTATAGACCTGACGCCATACTTCTGTCTCAACTCTTTGCTGAGCGGCGAAGACATGATCCGTCGGCGGATATGTGACGGAGCGTTGAAGTGATTCTTCCGGTTCTTCCTTCGGGCAGAAGTCACCAATTTATTCATTTTCGCCATCTCTTCGACCAATTATTTCGTGTCTCAACACGTCTTGGGATCTATTCATCAACAAAACCAAAGTTACCATTAATTCATTGCATCAAAACATGAAAACGTGTTTTGCATTGCATTTTGCAATCGCTTCACAAAAAACCACTCATTTCTGGCAAACGAGGAGTCGTTTGACTCAACGCTCGTCTCAATCGGTGTTAACGTTAAGTAAACATTGATTTTGCGGACAATTAGTGGTAATTATGATTGAATTGCAATTGAAATCAAATCAATACTAAAATACAATACCTTTTGAGTGAATGAAAGACCGAAACCAAAAGGAAACGGAAGTCAATAAATGACGTCCACTTCAACCCATAGACGGCGCTATCAGTCATGCATTCAAACACTGTTTTGCCGTTTATTTAATTCAATTACTTTTGATTTATTTTAATATTACTAAAATTCAAGCCCTATTTAACTATAAGTTTAATTATAAACCAAATTAAAAGTGATTAAAAGTATATATTTCTGAAATGAATGACATATGGATGGAGTGATTGAGTGGTTTGATTGGCGGACGTAATGTATGGACAGAATTGTGGAGTGAATTGATGTCAACGAATGACAACACGTTTTGATTGTTGTATTGATTGACAACAACTCAACCCTCTGTTGACTCACACTTTGCACTCCAATTGTCACTTGAATTGGTCCGAAATAATGGTCAAACTCTACTATATATCAGTGCTCCACAAGAATGACAACAATCGGGTCATTAACTTGAAGTCGGCGTCAGAGCTGTCGTCGTTTGGCTTCTTTCAGAGGAATAGGTATTTGTTTTGTCTGACTGTCTGTCCATTAATTGATGACATATTAAGACATTTGTCTCTTCACTCCTTCACAGTGTCCTCGAGTTCATGAAATTCACGGCCAAAGTATGCGTCGAGCGGTCGGATAAGGCCACGCGATCCTCCATTAAACAACAGGGTATTTGTTTGGGCCAACTCTTGGGCTTAGAGGCCACTCACGAGTTGCCGATTGATATCTATTTGTTATCTGTTTTTGTTGGACAGAGTATTTGTGTCACGTTTACGTGCGATCGGATGGTCTGTCGGGAGTGATCATCTCAGACCACGAGTACCCGCATCGAGTGGCGCACACCCTCTGCAGCCGAGTGTTGGACGAGTTCGCCGAAACGGTTCCCTCGCATTCCTGGCCGACCACTCTTGACAAGTAAGACAATGACCCCATTTGTTGTTGATTTGATTAACTAATGCATTGATTGTGCGAACAGTTCGGCGCCGTTCACAGCTCTGGAGCCGTATTTAACTAAATACCAGAACCCGAAAGAAGCGGACGCTATGACTAAAATACAGGAAGATTTGGATGAGACAAAGATTATACTCCACAATACG